AATTGTGTGACTTTAATCCCAAAGTCAATAAGTCAGGCAAAGATGTTTCACGCATACGTTCCATCTATTTGCATCTCAAACAGAATCCCATACCTATTAGAGCTCAAAAAGCCTAAGGTATTGAGAGATGAATATAAGATTTTGTTTTTTTTTTCCTCTTTATTAGTATTCCAATCAAATTATTAATTATTATTAATATAATTATTATTGTTTATGTTTATTCGCAAACAGACAAAAATGAATTCCACATAATTTTGCAAAAATTTATTATAAAATTATTAAACAAATTACACAAATAAAATATATAAAAAACTACATACAATTTAAATAAATTCAGTTATTTTTTGTTCTTAGATAGTATTTCTTGCAGTGTAATAAAACAGTTATTTACAGTTTCTATTACATTAGCAGTAAAAGCTTGAAAAAACAGTGATGTCAACAACTTAAAAGCAAAAAAGGTAGTTTGTTTTCTAGAAGACAGCTTTTTAAAGAAACTTTTCTAATAAAAATCTCACTATTATCCTAATTAACCCTTATATCTTCTCTTTTAGCTCCTTTCCTCCAATAACATCGCCATCAGCATGTCCTCCCCTACCAGCTCCTCGAAATTGACTCCTGTGATAAATAGCAAACGCCAAGATTACTTACATTGGGATGACTACTTCATGGCCACTGCCGTTCTATCCTCACAACGCAGCAAAGACCCCCGTTACACAAGTAGGAGCCGTAATAGTAAATGAAGATAATCGCATAGTAGCCATCGGGTACAATGGTTTTCCCAAAAGCTGTGAAGATGATGAATTTCCCTGGTATAAAGCCAACGATATTAAGGACATAGTAGAGGATTTTGATCCGATTAACGATAAGAAAATGTTTGTGGTCCATGCCGAGGCAAATGCTATACTCAATAAAAATTGTGCCAATCTCAAAAATACCCGCCTCTATACAACGCTTTTTCCCTGCAATGAATGCGCTAAACTTATAGTACAATCGGGCATTACGAAAATCTATTATATGTCAGATAAATATGCCAATAAACCCATATATCGGGCGGCACGTTTAATGTTCTCTAAAGCGAAAATAGAATGTCAACGTTATATACCCAAAAAAACGAAAATTGTCATAGATTTTGAACAAATATTGGAGGAGGAATTGAATCTTTCGCAAGAAATGGAGAATATTAAATTATAAGGGAGGAGGAAAAAATATGACTATGGCTGGATATAATTGCTGTACTATTAGCTTTTTTAAGTTTTTATTTTAATTTTGGCTAATTTGTTTTATTTAAAGTTTTTGTGTTGTGCTTTCCCTGCGTTTTTTGTACATTTTATGTAAGATGACTTATAATAAAGAAAATTATCCAAAAACTTAAAATACATAAATCATATTCTATAAATCTTCCTATTCAGCTAGCTGAATTGACGAATTTATGCAAAAATTTAATTATTGTCATAAGAAAACTAAATTTTCCATTCATACTTCCTATTCAGCTAGCTGAATTTGAAAAATTTTGCATGAATTTAGATGTTGGCTTTATGGAAACTACTAATTTCCATAAAATCATTATATTCAGCAAGCTGAATTCATATTCAATTTATACTTTATCCATAAAATTCTTTAGAAATTTGTTAATTTTCTTAATACCTACCTATTCAGCTAGATGAATTTATTATTGCATTCTCAGTCAATAGTCTATTCATTAGAAATGACATTACTCTAATCAATAAACTAAACAGTAGTTTATTCAATAGACTATAATTAACTGAACTAGAACTGAACTGAACTAGAACTGAATTAGAACTGAACTAGAACTGAACTAGAACTGAACTAAAACTTAACTACAACTGAACTAGAACTGAACTACGACTGAACTAGAACTGAACTGGAACTGAACCACGACTGAACTAGAACTGAACTGGAACTAGAACTGAACTAGAACTGAACTAGAATTGAACTTGAATTGAACTAGAACTGAACTAGAACTGAACTATAACAGAAGTAGAACTGAACTAGAACTGAACTACGACTGAACTAGAACTGAACTACGACTGCACTAGAACTGAACCACGACTGAACTAGAACTGAACAAAAACTCAACTAGAACTGTACTAGAACTAAACTAGAACTGAACTAGAACTGAACTGAACTTGAACTGAACTAGAACTGAACTAGAATTGAACTTGAATTGAACTAGAACTGAACTAGAACTGAACTAGAACTGAACTATAACAGAAGTAGAACTGAACTAGAACTGAACTAGAACTGAACTAGAACTGAACTAGAACTGAACTACGACTGAACTAGAACTGAACTACGACTGAACTAGAACTGAGCCACGACTGAACTAGAACTGAAATAGAACTGAAGTAGAACTAGAACTGAACTTCAACTGAACTACGACTAAACTAGAACTGAACTAGAACTGAACTAGAACTGAACTAGAACTGAACTAGAACTGAACTAGAACTGAACTAGAACTCAACTAGAACTCAACTAGAACTAGAACTGAACTAGAACTGAACTAGAACTGAACTAGAACTGAACTAGAACTGAACTAGAACTGAACTAGAACTGAACTAGAACTGAACTAGAACTGAACTAGAACTGAACTAGAACTGAACTAGAACTGAACTAGAACTGAACTAGAACTGAACTACTGAACTAGAACTGAACTAGAACTGAACTAGAACTGAACTAGAACTGAACTAGAACTGAACTAGAACTGAACTAGAACTGAACTGGAACTGAACCACGACTGAACTAGAACTGAACTGCAACTGAACCACGACTGAACTAGAACTGAACTGGAACTAGAACTGAACTAGAACTGAACTAGAATTGAACTTGAATTGAACTAGAACTGAACTAGAACTGAACTATAACAGAAGTAGAACTGAACTAGAACTGAACTACGACTGAACTAGAACTGAACTACGACTGCACTAGAACTGAACCACGACTGAACTAGAACTGAACAAAAACTCAACTAGAACTGTACTAGAACTAAACTAGAACTGAACTAGAACTGAACTGAACTTGAACTGAACTAGAACTGAACTAGAATTGAACTTGAATTGAACTAGAACTGAACTAGAACTGAACTAGAACTGAACTATAACAGAAGTAGAACTGAACTAGAACTGAACTAGAACTGAACTAGAACTGAACTAGAACTGAACTACGACTGAACTAGAACTGAACTACGACTGAACTAGAACTGAGCCACGACTGAACTAGAACTGAAATAGAACTGAAGTAGAACTAGAACTGAACTTCAACTGAACTACGACTGAACTAGAACTGAACTAGAACTGAACTAGAACTGACTAGAACTGAACTAGAACTGAACTAGAACTCAACTAGAACTGAACTAGAACTGAACTAGAACTGAACTAGAACTGAACTAGAACTGAACTAGAACCTGAACTAGAACTGAACTAGAACTGAACTAGAACTGAACTAGAACTGAACTAGAACTGAACTAGAACTGAACTAGAACTGAACTAGAACTGACTAGAACTGAACTAGAACTGAACTAGAACTGAACTAGAACTGAACTAGAACTAGAACTGAACTAGAACTGAACTAGAACTGAACTAGAACTGAAACTAGAACTGAACTAGAACTGAACTAGAACTGAACTAGAACTGAACTAGAACTGAACTAGAACTAGAACTGAACTAGAACTAACTAGAACTAACTAGAACTGAACTGAACTAGAACTGAACTAGAACTGAACTTGAACTGAACTAGAACTGAACTTGAACTGAACTAGATCTGAACTAGAACTGAACTAGAACTGAACTAGAACTGAACTAGAACTGAACTAGAACTGAACTAGAACTGAACTAGAACTGAACTAGAACTGAACTAGAACTGAACTAGAACTGAACTAGAACTGAACTAGAATTGAACTAGAACTAAACTAGAACTAAACTAGAACTGAACTAGAACTGAACTAGAACTGAACTAGAAGTGAACTAGAACTGAACTAGAACTGAACTAGAACTGAACTAGAACTAAACTAGAACTGAACTAGAACTGAACCACGACTGAACTAGAACTGAACTAGAACTGAACTAGAACTTAACTAGAACTGAACTAGAACTGAAGTAGAACTAGAACTGAACAAAAACTGAACTAGAACTGAACTGCAACTGAACTACGATTGAACTAGAACTGAACTGGAACTGAACCACACTGAACTAGAACTGAACTAGAACCGAACTAGAACTGAACTAGAACTGAACTAGAATTGAACTAGAACTAAAACCAGAACTAAACTAGAACTGAACTAGAACTGAACTAGAACTGAACTAGAACTGAACTAGAACTGAACTAGAACTGAACTAGAACTGAACTAGAACTGAACTAGAACGAACTAGAACTAACTAGAACTGAACTAGAACTGAACTAGAACTGAACTAAGAACTGAACTAGAACTGAACTAGAACTGAACTAGAACTGACTAGAAACTGAACTAGAACTGAACTAGAACTGAACTAGAACTGAACTAGAACTGAACTAGAACTGAACTAGAACTGAACTAGAACTGAACTAGAACTGAACTAGAACTGAACTAGAACTGAACTAGAACTGACTAGAACTGAACTAGAACTGAACTAGAACTGAACTAGAACTGAACTAGAACTGAACTAGAACTGAACTAGACTGAACTAGAACTGAACTAGAACTGAACTAGAACTGAACTAGAACTGAAACTGGAACTAGAACTGAACAGAACTGAACTAGAACTGAACTAGACTGAACTAGAACTGAACTAGAACTGAACTAGAACTGAACTAGAACTGACTAGACTGAACTAGATTCTGAACTAGAACTGAACTAGAACTGAACTAGAACTGAACTAGAACTGAACTAGAACTGAACTAGAACTGAACTAGAACTGAACTAGAACTGAACTAGAACTGAACTAGAACTGAACTAGAACTGAACTAGAAACGAACTAGAACTGAACTAGAACTGAACTGCAACTAGAACTGAACTGAACTGACTGGAACTGAACTAGAACTGAACTAGAACTGAACTAGAACTGAACTAGAACTGAACTAGAACTGAACTAGAACTGAACTAGAACTGAACTAGAACTGAACTAGAACTGAACTAGAACTGACTAGAACTGAACTAGAACTGAACTAGAACTGAACTAGAACTGAACTAGAACTGAACTAGAACTGAACTAGAACTGAACTAGAACTGAACTAGAACTGAACTAGAACTGAACTAGAACTGAACTAGAAACTGAACTAGAACTGAACTAGAACTGAACTAGAACTGAACTAGAACTGAACTAGAACTGAACTAGAACTGAACTAGAACTGAACTAGAACTGAACTAGAACTGAACTAGAACTGAACTAGAACTGAACTAGAACTGAACTAGAACTGAACTAGAACTGAACTAGAACTGAACTAGAACTGAACTAGAACTGAACTAGAACTGAACTAGAACTGAACTAGAACTAAACTAGAACTAAACTAGAACTGAATTGAACTAGAACTGAACTAGAACTGAACTTGAACTGAACTAGAACTGAACTTGAACTGAACTGACTAGAACTGAACTAGAACTGACTGAACTGAACTGAACTAGAACTGAACTAGAACTGAACTAGAACTGAACTAGAACTGAACTAGAACTAAACTAGAACTAAACTAGAACTGAACTAGAACTGAACTGAACTAGAACTGAACTAGAACTGAACTGAACTAGAACTGAACTAGAACTGAACTAGAACTGAACTAGAACTGAACTAGAACTGAACTAGAACTGAACTAGAACTAAACTAGAACTGAACTAGAACTGAACCACGACTGAACTAGAACTGAACTAGAACTGAACTAGAACTTAACTAGAACTGAACTAGAACTGTACTAGAACTTAACTAGAACTGAACTAGAACTGAACTAGAACTAAACTAGAACTGAACTAGAACTGAACTAGAACTTAACTAGAACTGAACTAGAACTGAACTAGAACTGAACTAGAACTGAACTAGAACTGAACTAGAACTGAACTAGAACTGAACTAGAACTGAACTAGAACTGAACTAGAACTGAACTAGAACTGAACTAGAACTTAACTAGAACTGAACTAGAACTGTACTAGAACTTAACTAGAACTGAACTAGAACTGAACTAGAACTGAACTAGAACTGAACTAGAACTGAACTAGAACTAAACTAGAACTAAACTAGAACTGAACTAGAACTGAACTGAACTAGAACTGAACTAGAACTGAACTGAACTAGAACTGAACTAGAACTGAACTAGAACTGAACTAGAACTGAACTAGAACTGAACTAGAACTGAACTAGAACTAAACTAGAACTGAACTAGAACTGAACCACGACTGAACTAGAACTGAACTAGAACTGAACTAGAACTTAACTAGAACTGAACTAGAACTGTACTAGAACTTAACTAGAACTGAATTAGAACTGAAGTAGAACTAGAACTGAACAAAAACAGAACTAGAACTGAACTGCAACTGAACTGCAACTGAACTACGATTGAACTAGAACTGAACTGGAACTGAACCACAACTGAACTAGAACTGAACTAGAACCGAACTAGAACTGAACTAGAACTGAACTGGAACCAAACTAGAACTGAACTAGAACTGAACTAGAACTGAACTAGAACTGAACTAGAACTGAACTGGAACTGAACTAGAACTGAACTAGAACTGAACTGAACTAGAACTGAACTAGAACTGAACTAGAACTGAACTAGAACTGAACTAGAACTGAACTAGAACTGAACTAGAACTGAACTAGAACTGAACTACAACTGAACTAGAACTGAACTAGAACTGAACTAGAACTGAACTAGAACTGAACTAGAACTGAACTAGAACTGAACTAGAACTGAACTAGAACTGAACTAGAACTGAACTAGAACTGAACTAGAACTGAACTAGAACTGAACTAGAACTGAACTAGAACTGAACTAGAACTGAACTAGAACTGAACTAGAACTGAACTAGAACTGAACTAGAACTGAACTAGAACTGAACTAGAACTGAACTAGAACTGAACTAGAACTGTACTAGAACTAAACTAGAACTGAACTAGAACTGAAGTAGAACTAGAACTGAACAAAAACTGAACTAGAACTGAACTGCAACTGAACTACGATTGAACTAGAACTGAAGCACGACTGAACTAGAACTGAACTAGAACCGAACTAGAACTGAACTAGAACTGAACTAGAACTAAACTAGAACTAAACTAGAACTGAACTTGAACTAGAACTGAACTAGAACTGAACTAGAACTGAACTAGAACTGAACTAGAACTGAACTAGAACTGAACTAGAACTGAACTAGAACTGAACTAGAACTGAACTAGAACTGAACTAGAACTGAACTAGAACTGAACTAGAATTGAACTAGAACTGAAAAAGTTTCTTTGGAAAGTTTTCTTAAATGAAATATTTTTAATATTAAACTTTCATTTCCATATGCTAATAATGAATAAATGTTTCAATTCAGCTAGCTGAATATGATGATTTCTTAAAAATTATTAGTTTAATCTTAGCAAATTTCCGAATATCTGCCAAAGTTTTCAATTCAGCTAGCAGAATAGGAAAATTTTAAGGAAATTATTAGTTTTTTTAAAAAACAATTTGAAAATATAGGTAATATTAAAAATTCTGCTACCTGAATCAAATATATTCTAATGTTTTTTTTTTTGATTTCCTTAATTCACTTTTTAATAGTTTTTTTTTGTTTTTAATTTTGTGCATAATTATCTTTATTATAAGTTTTATTTAGAACAATATATGTATAAAACCAATTGTTTAAAATATAATCTTAAGGATGTAATGAAGTAATGTATTTATATCCGGCTCCCTTAACACAGATTTTCACCGGAAAAATTTACTTGCTCAATTATTTTCAAAATATATTAATCTTTTTTTCTTTAGGTGTATAGCGATTACACTCAATGTTCTTTGCAGAAAACATCAAATCAGCCGCACGATAATGTTCTGATGCTTTACCTATAAATGACAAATAATAGATTTTCGTAATGTCCGATTTTACTAAAAGTTTAACGCATTGATCGCAGGGAAAGTGCGTTGTATAGATGCGGGTTTTTTTTGAGATTATCGCAATATTTATTGAGAATAGCATTTGCCACGGCATGAACCTCAAAATTTTGCTCGTCATCTTCACATTTATAGATGTAATTATAACCAACACCAACTATGCAATCATCCTCATCGACTATGATGGCTCCCTTTTGGTTATTGGAGTCTTTACATTGTTTTGAGTATAAAACAGCTATGGCCATAAAGTAATCGTCGTCATCTAAGGCATATGAACGCTTGGAATATTCTAGAATTTCAAAATTTGAGGAGCTGTCATTGGAGCCCATGTTGGACGTTATGTTTTACAACAGAGGAAATCTGTGAAATGAAAATGTTGGAGAAAGGATTAAAAAATAGAAACGTTTCTTTAGAAAGTTGGCTTTTAGAAAAGTTTCTCTAGAAAGTTTTCTTACAGAAAAAATTCCGTAGAAAGTTTTCTTATGGAAAAGTTTCTTTCAAAAGTTTTATTATATAAAAGTTTATATCGATTTTTTTCTTATAGATAAGTTGAAAGTTTTATAGAAAAGTTATTTTAGAAAGTTTTCTTATAGAAAAGTTTCTGTAGAAAGTTTTCTTATAGAAAAGTTTCTTTAGAAAGTTATCTTATACAAAAGATTATTTACAAATTTATTTTATAGAAAAGTTTCTGAAGAAAGTTTTCTTTTAGAAAAGTTTCTAGTTATCTTGTAGGAAAATTTCTCTAGAAAGTTTTGTTATAGAAAAGTTTTTTTTTTTTTTTTTTTTTTTTTTTTTTAAAGGAAATAAATCTAGATAGTACTAAAGAAAAACAAATTCAAAACCCTCAAAACAAAGAGTAAAAATGTACTAAAACATTTCATTACGTTCCAGCAAATATTGCATTTAAAGATTATGTTTATGTGTAGGATTGACTCACCCAATCGCTACACTAGATTCGTAATAGAAATTAAAAAAATTCTCTAAGATTTTTATACAACGATAAAATATATTATATAAAATATACTATATATATAAATGTATATACAATATTCAATTTTTATACCCTACACCACTTTAGTGGGGAGGGTATATTGGGTTTGTGCTGATATTTGTAACGCACAATAATATTGGTCCTATACCCACCTTAAAGTATACCAATCGGCTTAGAATCATTTTCTGAGTCGATTTAGCTATTTAGCCGGCCAGATGGACGGACGTCTGTCCGGCCATGTAAACGTTGTAATCAACTACTACAGGTCGCAATTTTGAAGATAATTCAATGAAATTTGATACATGATCTTTTATTGCCCCAGGGACGAAGCCTATTGAAAATGGTTACAATCGGTCGGTCATTTTACCTAGCCCCCCTACAACTGCACCACCCGAATAGGCCACACCCGACTATAATTTCTTACTTGTTATATTTTTACTAATTCCTTTTATTGCTTACCCTTTAAATTAAAAGATTACTTTTTTAAATGGTTTATTACTATAATTTATTAGGTTTTTATTGCGAAATGTTTTTTTTTTTATTTTAAATTTTACAACAAAACTTAACAACCCGCCAGATTACGTTGATCTGTAGTCTTTGAAGGTGCCGGATATACTCTTAAAAAAAATCTCTCAATAAATAACAAAAGATCGTTAAAACTAACAATACTTAATGAAAAAAGCTCTCTCTCTATCTCAGTTGTCACTAAGCGTATTTTACAATATAATATGTGCAGTGTTGCATTCTATAGTACTGTTCGTTCTAAACTTTTTTATACATTTATTAATATGAAATAAAACTATAGACCAGACTATACTATAGACTATAATATAGACTAAAATAAAGACTAGACTATAGACTACAACATAGACTCGACTAAGACTAGACTATAGACTAGACTATAGACTAGACTAGACTATAGACTCGACTATAGACTAGACTATAGACTAGACTATAGACTAGACTATAGACTAGACTATAGACTAGACTATAGACTAGACTATAGACTAGACTATAGACTAGACTATAGACTAGACTATAGACTAGACTATAGACTAGACTAGACTAGACTAGACTATAGACTAGACTATAGACTAGACTATAGACTAGACTATAGACTAGACTATAGACTAGACTATAGACTAGACTATAGACTAGACTATAGACTAGACTATAGACTAGACTATAGACTAGACTATAGACTAGACTATAGACTAGACTATAGACTAGACTATAGACTAGACTATAGACTAGACTATAGACTAGACTATAGACTAGACTATAGACTAGACTATAGACTAGACTATAGACTAGACTATAGACTAGACTATAGACTAGACTATAGACTAGACTATAGACTAGACTATAGACTAGACTATAGACTAGACTATAGACTAGACTATAGACTAGACTATAGACTAGACTAGACTAGACTATAGACTAGACTATAGACTAGACTATAGACTAGACTATAGACTAGACTATAGACTAGACTATAGACTAGACTATAGACTAGACTATAGACTAGACTATAGACTAGACTATAGACTAGACTATAGACTAGACTTAGACTAGACTATAGACTAGACTATAGACTAGACTATAGACTAGACTATAGACTAGACTATAAACTAGACTATAGACTAGACTATAGACTAGACTATAGACTAGACTATAGATTATACTATAGACTAGACTATAGACTAGACTATAGACTAGACTATAGACTAGACTATAGACTAGACTATTTATTAGTTTTCTTCTAGCAAATTTCTAAATATTTGTCAAAGTTTTTAATTCAGCTAGCTGAATAAAAAGCTTTTAAGGAAATTAGTAATTTATATATATTCAGCTAGCTGAATAGCAAAATTTTGATGTTATTTTTGATTTCCTTAAAACAGAATCATAAAATATAGGTAGAATTTTAAATTCAGCTACATTTTTTGTAAATAAAATTTTAAAATTTTGAATATAATTTTCTTTATTATAAGTTTTCTTAAGAACTACATATAATATGTATATAAAATATGTGTATACTTTGTTTTCTTTCCTCCACTATAATTTGCTCCCTTATAACTTAATTTTCACAAATTTTTGTGACAAATTCACTTATTTTTTAAATACTCGTCAAAATCTATAACAATGTTTTGTTTTATAAATATACGGTGAGTATCTATTTTCGCTGCAGAGAACAAAAGTTTAGATTCGTCAGGTGAGTATTTTTTGCCCATTTTATCTGATAAATAATAGATGTTTGTAATGCCCGATTGTACTATAAGATGAGCGCAATTGGTGCAGGGAAAGAGTGTCGTATAGAGGCGGGTATTTTTGAGATTAGCACAATTTTTATTGAGTATAGCATTTGCCTCGGCATGCACAACAAAAGGGTCCTTACTGTGAATTGGATCAACTTGATTACAATAATCTACATCTTTATATCTATACCAGGGAAATTTTTCATCACTACAGCCTTTAGGTAAGCCATTATAACCAATACCTATTATGCGATTATCTTCATTGACTATGACGGCTCCCACTTGGACTCTGGGATCTCTGCTGCGTTTTGAGGATAAGACGGCAAGGGACATGAAGTGATCGTCCCAAGTAATCGCCCTATCTAAGTTATCCTCGAGCTTAGTTTTTTTCGCAGGTATATCATTAGCGGAGCTGCTAGGCGTGGTCATGTTGGAGTTTAGGTTTTGCAAACGTGTAAATCTGGAAAATAAATATATTTATAAAAGTTTCGTTTGAGAAAGTTTCTTTAGAAAGTTTTCTTTCAAAAAAGTTTATTTAGAAAGTTTTTTTCTAAAAGTTTTCTTATAGAAAAACTTATTCAAAATGGTTTATTCTAAAAAACATCTTAAACATACTAATAAAATCCTAAAATCCTCCAATTTTGCACCGATCTAGAAACAACTAAACAAAACACAAATCAAAGAGTACAAGTGTACTAAAACACAATTATTGCAATATATTCCAGCGAGTGTCGCACTTAATTAATCTGTTGGGTATGGGTATGACTCACCGACCAGCATATAATATATTCTTTTTCCAAATTCAAATCCAACCAAAAAAATTCTCTGAAATTTTTACACAATTCCAAATGTTTAAATTTTCAGATTTTTACACCAAATTTAATTTTTATTACAGCTGTCCTATTTTTTACTAATTCTTTTTATTACTTGCCTTTTATTTAATAGATTAGTTTTTTAAATTTTAATTTAAATTATTTTTTTAATTTGTTTATTACTATAATTTGTTAGTATTTTAACAATCCGCCAAAATACGTTGATCTGCAATCTTTGAAGGTGCCGGATATACTCTCAAACAAGATCTTTCAATAGAAAATAAACGATCGTTAAAACTAACAAAACTTAATGAAAAAGCTCTCTCTCTCTATTCCAGTTGTTACTAAGTGCATTCAACAATATAATATGCGCAGTTAGTTTTAACGATCGTTTATTTTCTATTGAAAGATCTTGCTTGAAAGTATATCCGGCACTTTCAAAGATAGCAGATCAACGTATTTTGGCGGATTGTTAAAATACTAACAAATTATAGTAATAAACAAATTAAAAAAAAAATAATTTACTTTAAAAAACAAATCTATTAAATAAAAGGTAAGTAATAAAAATAATTAGTAAAAATAGGACAGCTGTAATAAAAATTATATTTGGTGTAAAAATCTGAATATTTAAACATTTGGAATTGTGCAAAAATTTCAGAGAATTTTTTTTTTTTTTTTGGATTGATTTGAATTTGGAATTATATGCTGGTCGGTGAGTCATATCCATACCCAACAGATTAATTAAGTGCGACACTCGCTGGAATATATTGCAATAAGTGTGTTTTAGTACACTTGTACTCTTTGTGGTTTGTTTAGTTGTTTCTAGATCGGTGCAAAATTGGAGGATTCTAGATCTATTAGTATGTTTAAGATGTTTTTTTTAGAATAAACCATTTTGAATAAGTTTTTCTATAAGAAAACTTTCTAAAGAAACTTTTAGAAAAAACTTTATAAATAAACTTTTTTGAAAGAAAACTTTCTAAAGAAACTTTCTCAAACGAAACTTTTATAAATATATTTATTTTCCAGATTTACCCGTTTGCAAAACCTAAACTCCAACATGACCACGCCTAGCAGCTCCGCTAATGATATACCTGCGAAAAAAACTAAGCTCGAGGATAACTTAGATAGGGCGATTACTTGGGACGATCACTTCATGTCCCTTGCCGTCTTATCCTCAAAACGCAGCAGAGATCCCAGAGTCCAAGTGGGAGCCGTCATAGTCAATGAGGATAATCGCATAATAGGTATTGGTTATAATGGCTTTCCTAAAGGCTGTAGTGATGAAAAATTTCCCTGGTATAGATATGAAGATGTAGATTATTGTCATCAAGTTGATCCAATTCACAGTAAGGACCATTTTGTTGTGCATGCCGAGGCAAATGCTATACTCAATAAAAATTGTGCTAATCTTAAAAATACCCGCCTCTATACGACACTCTTTCCCTGCACCAATTGCGCTCATCTTATAGTACAATCGGGCATTACAAACATCTATTATTTATCAGATAAAATGGGCAAAAAATACTCACCTGACAAATCTAAACGTTTGTTCTCTGCAGCGAAAATAGATACTCACCGTATATTTATAAAACAAAACATTGTTATAGATTTTGACGAGTATTTAAAAAATAACTGAATTTGTCACAAAAATTTGTGAAAATTAAGTTATAAGGGAGCAAATTATAGTGGAGGAAAGAAAACAAAGTATACACATATTTTATATACATATTATATGTAGTTCTTAAGAAAACTTATAATAAAGAAAATTATATTCAAAATTTTAAAATTTTATTTACAAAAAAATGTATTACATCACTAAAATGATTCTATTCAGCTAGCTGAATTTAAAATTCTACCTATATTTTATGATTCTGCTTTAAGGAAATCAAAAATAACATCAAAATTTTGTTATTCAGCTTGCTGAATATGAAATATAACCTATATTTTTGAATTATTATTTAAAAAAATTACTAATTTCCTTAAAATCTTCTTATTCAGCTAGCTGAATTAAAAACTTTGACAAATATTTAGAAATTTGCTAGAAGAAAACTAATAAATATCAATCATCATATTTAGCTAGCTGTATTAAAAATGATTCATTATATTAATATAATAGTCTAGTCTATAGTCTAGTCTATAGTCTAGTCTATAGTCTAGTCTATAGTCTAGTCTATAGTCTAGTCTATAGTCTAGTCTATAGTCTAGTCTATAGTCTAGTCTATAGTCTAGTCTATAGCCTAGTCTATAGTCTAGTCTATAGTCTAGTCTATAGTCTAGTCATAGTCTAGTCTATAGTCTAGTCTATAGTCTGTCTATAGTCTAGTCTATAGTTAGTCTATAGTTAGTCTATAGTCTAGTCTATAGTCTAGTCTATAGTTTAGTCTATAGTCTAGTCTATAGTCTAGTCTATAGTCTAGTCTATAGTTAGTCTATAGTCTAGTCTATAGTCTAGTCTATAGTCTAGTCTATCGTCTAGTTTAGTCTATAGTCTAGTCTATAGTCTAGTCTATAGTCTTAGTCTAGTCTAGTCTATAGTCTAGTCTATAGTCTAGTCTATAGTCTAGTCTATAGTCTAGTCTATAGTCTAGTCTATAGTCTAGTCTATAGTCTAGTCTATAGTCTAGTCTATAGTCTAGTCTAAAGTCTAGTCTATAGTCTAGTCTATAGTCTAGTTTAGTCTATAGTCTAGTCTATAGTCTAGTCTATAGTCTAGTCTATAGTCTAGTCTATAGTCTAGTCTATAGTCTAGTCTATAGTCTAGTCTATAGTCTAGTCTATAGTCTAGTCTATAGTCTAGTCTATCGCCTAGTCTATAGTCTAGTCTATAGTCTAGTCTATAGTCTAGTCAATAGCCTAGTCTATAGTCTAGTCTATAGTCTAGTCTATAGTCTAGTCTATAGTCTAGTCTATAGTCTAGTCTATAGTCTAGTCTATAGTCTAGTCTATAGTTTAGTCTATAGTCTAGTCTATAGTCTAGTCTATAGTCTAGTCTATAGTCTAGTCTATAGCCTAGTCTATAGTCTAGTCTATAGTCTAGTCTATAGTCTAGTCTATAGTCTAGTCTATAGTCTAGTCTATAGTTAGTCTATAGTCTAGTCTATAGTCTAGTCTATAGTCTAGTCTATAGTTCTAGTCTATAGTCTAGTCTATAGTCTAGTCTATAGTCTAGTCTATAGTCTAGTCTATAGTCTAGTCTATAGTCTAGTCTATAGTCTAGTTTAGTCTATAGTCTAGTCTATAGTCTAGTCTATAGTCTAGTCTATAGTCTAGTCTATAGTCTAGTCTATAGTCTAGTCTATAGTCTAGTCTATAGTCTAGTCTATAGTCTAGTCTATAGTCTAGTCTATAGTCTAGTCTATAGTCTAGTCTATAGTCAAGTCTATAGTCTAGTCTATAGTCTAGTCTATAGTCTAGTCTATAGTCTAGTCTATAGTCTAGTCTATAGTCTAGTCTATAGTCTAGTCTATAGTCTAGTCTATAGTCTAGTCTATAGTCTAGTCTATAGTCTAGTCTATAGTCTAGTCTATAGTCTAGTCTAGCTATAGTCTAGTCTATATCTATTCTAGGTCTAGTCTATAGTCTAGTCTATTGTCTAGTCTATAGTCTAGTCTATAGTCTAGTCTATAGTCTAGTCTATAGTCTAGTCTATAGTCTAGTCTATAGTCTAGTCTATAGTCTAGTCTATAGTCTAGTCTATAGTCTAGTCTATAGTCTAGTCTATAGTCTAGTCCATAGTCTAGTCTATAGTCTAGTCTATAGTCTAGGCTATAGTCTATTCTAGTCTATAGTTCAGTCTAGTTTATAGTCTAGTTCAGTCTAGTCTATAGTCAAGAGTCTAGACTATAGTATAGTCTATAGTTCAGTCTAGTTTATAGTCTAGTTCAGTCTAGTCTATAGTCTAGACTACAGTCTAGTATATAGTCAAGAGTCTAGACTATAGTCTAGTATATAGTTTTGTCTATTGTCTAGTCTATAGTATAATCTATAGTATAGTCTATTCTATAGTCTAGTTTATAGTCTAGTCTATAGTCTAGTATATAGTCTAATCCATAGTCTAGTCTATAGTCTAGTCTAGTCTAGTCTATAGTAAAGTCTATAGATTGGTCTTTAATTTTGTTGTTGTTTGTTGTAGTTGTCTGCTTATTTCACTGCTGAAACGCAATAATTATATTTTTCTCACATTTTGCTCACATGCAATTTCTTCTTTAATTAATAATGTGATTAATAATGTAATAACAAAAACATATTAATGATTTACTAACATATACCCCCTCTTACACTCCCATTCAACAACGACCGCCTTCTAACAATTGTCTTAACAACTTTGGCAAATTGCACATTTTTCTCAATTTTCCAACACTTTTTTCACTAATTTCTAAAACTTTTTTTCATAAATATTTTTATACCTATACCGTTATAATTTGTTTAATATTATACAATAAAAATATTTTATTATTAACAATTAATTAACGTTTTAACTTAATTTAAACGGTATCATTTAAACCAAAACAACCAAACACTTAAAAAATATTAAGAAAACTAAAGAAATGGAACAATAACAAAAAGCATCCATCACTTATTGTAGTTGTTGTTATTAGTATATATTTGCTCTTTAAATGGAGTACTAATAATAACAACAACAACAATGACAATTCCTATTACCTTTTGTTTCTTTAGTTATTTGTATTCTTCTTTAGTTGCTAAAAATTTCTCAAGTGATCGGTTGTTTAGTGTTTGTAGTCCTATTTTAATTAATCTAAAGTGTTAATTAATTGTTTATATTTAAATATATTTGTTGAAAATTGTTTATAAATACATACCCTTATGGCAAAATGTTTATAGAAAAGTGTTAAATTATTAGTTAATAAAGTGTTTTAAAATTTGCCAAAAATTCAATGCAATTTTGTTAAGCCGAGCGCCGGTCAGTGTTTTTCTTAAGTAATGAGAAAGCTTTAATAAAAGGGGTCAGTGGAAGAGTTAAAAAAAATATTTGTTTACAAAAAAGGAAAAGAAAGTGTTAAATAAAAAGAGTTGCTGGTTATGTATGCAAATATGTTTGTGTTACAAAATGAAAATATTGTTTTTGTCTGCAAGGAAATGCACATGGGAGAATGTCGTTATTTCAACAACAACAAAAAAAATGGTGAGTGATTGAAATAGTATAATTTGTTTTTATTCCTTTACTAAATGTATTGTATAGTTTGGCCTATAGTCTAGTGGAAAATTAAATTAGTATTTTAATA